ATTCTGTTTAGATTTCATCCAGCCGAGCGGTTTTTACAGCCGCCGGAGCGTTGGGAAGCGCCCGGCAGCGCAACAGGATATTGGCTGCCCGCGAGCGCGCGCTTACCCCTAAAATCCCCGTGAATTTTAAGTGCCTTTCTTTTTTTTCCTCCTTTTCTTTCTTTTTTTTTTTTTTTATTAACCTTCCCTTTGAAATTCTGAACAGAAAATAGAAAGCTTTTCTTTCCTTTTTTTTTTTTTTAATTTTTTTTTTCTCCCATTTTTTTTTCTCCCATTTTTTTTCTCCCAGTTTTTTTTCTATTTTCATTTTTTATTACGGGAGTTTTGTGAAAGATGCAGAGGAAACAAAAAAAAAAAAGAAAGAAAGATGTAGGAAATGTGGTGTGATGCAGGGGGGCACAGCCTAACCCAAAAGGGATTGGAAACGGCTCCTTCCCCCACGGTGGCACAGCATGCCGAAAAAGCAGCAGGGGTGTAAAAAATCCCCACGGGGCAGGAAAACAAGCTCTCAGGGGGGTCAGACAGAATTTCTATTTCTTGGAAAGCAGAAAAAAATATAAATAAAAATAAAAGAGTTTTGAGATAATCACGTTTTAGTCTGCAAAATGAGTGGCACGAGCAGCACCGGTCACCCTGCCCCGCTTACAAAGCCGGCCGAAAGCGGCTGCTGGTGGCAGTGGCGCATCCTCCCGCTTGTGGTGACTTTGCTTTTCCATCATTTGCCTCCCCATTAATCTCGGTACAAACAAAGGCTCTGAAGAGACAAGCTGAAAAGCTCCTGGGGGTACGTTTAAATCAGTCCTTTCTAATAATGTCTGTCGACCTCTCCGTGGAAGCGCTGCTCCCCTAGGAAAGGACACGGAGCCGCGGCAGCGTGCTGAAATATGGTGGGGTGTAATTAATTCTGACCTCTGGCTCCCGCTCGCTCCTTCTCAATATTAAATTTGACTAGTGATATTGTGGTTTTTCAATTATGCTTGTTTTCTTGGGGGCATGGAGGGGAGGGGGCTGGAAACTCAGCTCGGTGGGCGGCCGTGCTGCAGAGCCGCCGTGATGTGGGCTGGTGGGGGCAACGTCCCTGGATCGTGTCCATCGGGATGATTTTGGGTTTGGGCACCGAGCTGTGCGTCCCCCTGCTCCCCGTGTCCCTCCTGCCTGCAAAACCAATGGATTGAGTTGTTTGATGGGGCCGGCACCCTGCGTGATGCTGCAGGCTATTATGGAGGAGGGGTCCCCAGAAATCAGCATTGCGTGGCAGAAACTTGGGGGTGGGTTCACCAAAGGCTTTGGCTTTTTGGGGTCCTCATCCCCAGCTGCATGGGGGCCGGGCTGCACCCGGGGGGCTCGTGGGAATGCCCAGGGGCAGCATTGCCACCGCAGCCCCATTGCTACATCCCCTCGCAGCATCAGAGGCTGCATCCCGCCAGCAGAAAGGAGAGGGGCTGGAGCCGGGGGTGGGGAGGGGGGGAGGAGAAGGGAAATTAAACTGAAAAAAAAAAAAAGGGAAACGGCACTTGCTGCAAAGCGAGCGAATTCTCCAATAAACCCGAATCTGCTGAGAATACATTTTACAAACATGCAGCTAAGTTGGCCGCTTTTGTTTGGGCGTTTGTTAAGCATTAACTAAAGAATGCCATGGTCCAGCCTGCTCGGTGTGAAATCTAATTCTCCCCCTTTCTGGAGCCATGGCATGGAGTGCTCAATTTTTTTCTCTCTGTAGGACTGCAGCCTTCTGGTACTCCGGCCAAAAACCACTCATATTTTAGCAAGCTTAGCCCGGGCGCCGTTGCCAGGCAGTAAAGCGAACACTTGTCCGCCTCGGGGGGAGGGAGCCAGGAGACGGGGAAGGGTCAGGGGACAGCCTGGGGACGTCCCCAACGTGGCACGGGGAGCTGGGGTGTGTGGAGAGGGGGCACAAGGGATGGGGTGGGTGAGCAACACCGCTGCTCCCCTGACACCCCTTGGTTTGGGGACCAAAACTGGTCCCGGTGCGCCCAGGTGGCACCAGGACAGCAGCTATGTCCCAGCCCAACCCTGGGGGCTGGATGCGTGGTTGACAGCGACTGGCATTTTTCCATGTCCCCTGTCCTGCTGTCCCCCATTCCGACGGGTGACAGTGAGTGAGAAGGCGACCGGGTGCCAAGACATCTCAATTTGGCGGCACCGAGCCCCGCCGCCGGCATCCCCCTGTGTCCCTCGCATGGAGCGGGGCCGCTGGCTCATCCCAATGTCCCCACACACCCGTCCCCTCTCGGAGGAGCCGGGATGGGTGAACGTGTCATTGTGCCTGGGATGGCCCTTGGGGCAGGAGATGGCCGGGGATGGCAGCGCAGAAGCTGCAAGGAGCATCCTGAGAGAAGCAAACCCATCCGTGGAGCAGCCTGGCAAGCGCTGGGACTCCAATATCTCCACTTCAGGAAGAGCCACGGCGAAAGAAACCTCCGCAGCGTTTGGGATTTGTCCGTCAGTATTTAATATCACCATCCCTGACCCCCGCCACCCCCCAGGGGGGCTCCGTGGGCCCCGTTTGTATGCGGCGCACGCAGGCGGCCGGGAGACAGACAGCAGCCGGGAAGCGCCCGTCAATCAGAGCCCCTTTCATTGTGTCACCTCGGCAGAAAGGCAGAAAGAGGGGGAGGCAGGAGCTCCCCGGCCCCGTTCCCTGCTCCGACAGCCCCATGGGAAAGCACCCGACAGGGATGGGGAGCACCTGGGCCGGGGATGTGGGATGCGCGAGGCGGGACGCACGATGCGCTGCCCCACGGGTGGCTCTGGCCACGTGTCGAAGCCGCCAGCTTTCGGTGATGCTGCGAGGATGGGGAGGCCAGAAGCAGAAGACCGAGATGTTTTTCTCCGGGAATAGGAAATGAAAAGTTGGATTTTGTCTCCGAAGAAGAGGGGGTGCCTTTAATGTCATCTCGCTCTCTCGGGGGTCTTCAGGCAGAAAGGTTTCGATTCTGGAAATGGCAAAATATTTCCTTTCGATATTTTCTTGAAACACACCGCCACCACCTTTCTGTTTCAAAACTGGAGACTGTCATTTCAAAAAGGATCTTTTTCATTTCTATTTTTTTTAATTCAGATTTTAATACAGATTAATCAATAGAGGAAAGAGAATGCTCAGAAAATCAGAAACAAAGGATCACGTGCAGTGATGAAAAACGCTTACACCACCACACCTTTGTTGCAACTCTCCCTAAGTTAAATATTTTTCAAAATTTACCAATACTCACTGCCAATATTTTGCTGAGGCTTTTACCAAGCTACCACTGTTCCCAAAGTGGGAGCGCTTTGGGAACTGTCCTTTATCCAGGGCCCTAAACACACCCTTAAGTGTCTGGTATCAGGCAGCCATCTACCCAAACCTCACGCCTTCCTGTTTTGCAGCGTGCTGAACACTTTGAGCTCAGACAAATCCTCTCTTCAGTGGGTGCTGATGTGCCTAATTGGCACGGCTTTGTTGCTTTCTAATCGGCGCACTGAAAACAGATATTTGGGGCACATTCATTCGCGAAGATTAGACAGCACTAACTGAATACCTCATCGGTGCTTTATGACCGAAAACACTCAGCAGTCCCACCAGGTAGGGCTTAAACTTTATTTAAGCAGGATGAGAACGCGTTGCCCCCTGCCTACAAATTGCCTCCACTCTGCCATGAAGGAGATGTAAGGAAATACCCAGCAGAAATGCGCGGCGCTGACACAGCCCACGTTCCTCCGGGCTGCAAGAAGAGGAGAGGACCCGGGGTGAAGAATGAAGCCGATGCATTTTGGGACTCTTGGGGGATGCCTCCAGGGCACAAAGATACAAGCGTGCCTCGCTCTGCCTCCCGCCTCCATGTTTTATGTGCTATCAAGCTCATAAAAACGTCAATATATAAAGCTTTTTATTTTTTTCCCCCTTTTTCGGGTGGTTTTGCTGTGAAGCTGTTGCGTACATCTGTTCCTCTCCTTATTGCACCAGGGCTGACTCAGCACTTTGCATTTCCTATGTCTTTTTTTTTTTATTTTGTTGGTAACCGTCCCAAAAAATCAGGGTTGAAAATGTTGTGCTCGGAGGCTCTGGGCAGGCAGGTCCATGCCCTGGGATAACTCAGGGGTGAGGGAACCGGGCAGAGGACACCGAGCATTGCTTGAATTATTTAACCAGAGCTTGGTGCCTTTTTTTTTTTCATTAAAAACAATAAAATACTTCATCTACAGACAGCAGGCCTGAAGAAGGCCTGAAGGGGCGAGGCACCCGATGGGGACCAGGGGGTGACCGGGGCAGGGAGCGGCGCTGGGACCCGGGGATGCTCGCAGATAACCCCCGCAGGATGTGTGCTGACTTCTGCCTCCTCTTTCTGGGCCAAAGTCATTAAGGCAGGGGAATAATAATGTCCAGTTCCCACAGATATTTAGGACGAGGCTGGGTAAACAGAGATTTTTTTTTTCTTTATGGGATCCAGGCCAAAAGCACGGATATTGGGGGTGGTGAAGACGTTCTGCTTTGGTACCTCCAAAAATCGATACTGGGGGAAATATCCCAAGCAGGTTTGGCACCAGGTCCTTCTAAGCCTTCTCAAGCCAGCATTATTATTATCATATTATTGTTATTCTGGACCTCCTGTAGGTGGTGTGTCCCACGTCCCATGCTGGTAGCCCAGCTCTTGGGTTTGATGCCTGCTTGCTTTCTACCCAGAGCATCCGATAATTGGGATTTTCACCCTTTGGCTGCATTTGTGGTTCACCAAAAATACCAGCATTGACCCAAACCAGCATCCCTTGCTGGCACAGGGCGAGCCTGCAGCCCACTCCTGGTCACCGTGGGGAGCCAGCACCACCCTGTGCCTCCCCTCGGCACATCCAAAGCACGGCAGCGGTGACAAATCCCCCCTGTGCCAATGCCCCCCAGCCTCACCACGGGTCCCCGGGGTGCCCCAACACCGTGCCACCCCCCGGCTGCAGCCGTGGCACCTTGGGGCATCCCAGCGGGGTCTCCCCTTGCTTTCCCCACGCAGGTTGTTCGCGGTGAAGTGCGCCGGGTGCCTGGAGACCATCGCGCCCAGCGAGCTGGTGATGCGCGCCCAGAAGAGCGTCTACCACCTGCGCTGCTTCTGCTGCTGCGTCTGCGAGCGGCGCCTGCAGAAGGGCGACGAGTTCGTGCTGAAGGAAGGGCAGCTGCTCTGTAAGGGCGACTACGAGAAGGAGCGGGAGCTGCTGAGCTTGGTGAGCCCGGCTCTGTCGGATTCTGGTAAGGGGGCCGCCCGCGCCCGGCGCAGCATCGCCCTGACCCGCTGCTCCTGCTCCGGGGTCCCGTGGTGGGAAGGGAAAGGCAGAGCCAGAACTGGGACACTGTGGGGTTAGGGAAGGGGGTGGCATCCCCAGGGTGTCACCTTCGGGGGGGTCTTTCTGGTTGTTAATGAGGGCAGGTTGCCCAGAGCATCAGATCAGCGCTTAAATCCAAATGTGCAGCCGATGTAAATCTGAATGGTTCCCGGGAAGACAAATTTAGGAAGAAAAAACAGGAAAATGGGAAATGAGCTGTGAGCAGAAATCGCTCTCTTAATGATATCCCTGAAGATGGGGTTGGCACTTCCCAAATCACACTCTTCACCAAAAAAATAAAACAACATTATTGTAGGAAAATCTGCTTTGCAGAGGGAAGGGTTTACCTCTGAACGGGGAGGACAGGGATGGTTTCAGTGGGGGTGGAGCAGAAATTGCCCCAGGTCTTTAATATCATGATCCTCCACAGCCAGAACCTAGAAAAAAAAATTAATAAATCCTTCCTCCAAATAGTAGCGATGGTAACAAAAAGTAAAAAGCAGTGGGGCTGCTGTGCTGGGAGCCCTGGGAAAGTGCGTCCGGGAGACACAGTTCTGCCTTGTGGGAGATGCAAAGCCTCCCAGTTAAAATAGGAACCGAGGAGGAAACATCACGCAGGAAAAGGATTGAATCGGCCTCTGGTCCCACAGCATTTTGGGTTTATTCCTACTGGGGGAAAAGGGCAGTTTGGGAAAGGTTGGGGAGTTTTTTCTCCCCAGCGACTCGTCGGCCCGCGGCCAGCCCCACTTCCAGCGCCTCTGGCCAAGCCGAGGGCTTTAATAGCAGAAATCCCCGGGGAAAAACGCATATTTTGGTGGAAGCTCCGGGCAGAGGGATGCAGAGGGAGTCACAGTGCAGGAGTCACAAGGGCAGCACAACCCCTTGGCTGGCGGGGAACCCAGCACAAAACCCCGGCACCCCTGGCCCAGGTGCGCACCCAGATCCACGGCTTTGCCCCCTGCACCCTGTGTCCCCCAACATATCCGTGTGTCCCCGCCGGGGTGCCAGCCCCGGCTGCCCTCCACCAGCGATGTGAGCCTCCAGCCTCCCCCGAATCCCCCCCCATCCTCCCTCCCCCAGCCTCCACGCACACCAAAGGCCACTTTATGAGAAAGCGCCGATAAAAAGCCAGCCATATGTTGCCCGTAATCTCCCCAACCCTCGCTTCAATTACTGCCTCCCCCGAAACCCCCCCTCCCGGCCCAGCCTAAGCAAACAAGCCCCTCTGAAAGAGGACCCCGGTTTCCAATTAAAAGCGTCCTAACGTTTCTCCTCTCCCTAAATCCTCCCAGGCGAGGAATGTCCTGGCCCCGCTGTGGCCGCACTGGCCCCCCCGTGCTGGCGGGTCGGGCTGGGGGCACGCACAAAGTCCCCCGCCCCGGCCCCTTCCCGGGTGACGTCAGGGGCAGCCCCAGACAGTCATTAATTTCCCCCCCTCGTTCGGGTGAAGGCTTGAAAGGGAGAGTTAATTAAAAGTAATACCCCGCCAAATCCGGCTCCGCTTCTCCTTTGACACACGGAGGGATTTGGGGAGCAGGTGTTGGGGGGGATGGCGAGGAGAGGGGGGGGATGCTTGGAGTGGGTTTTTCCCCTTCCCAGATCATGGTGGTGTGGTTTTGGGCATCATTTGCTTGATCTAGAGAGGCTCTGTCTCCCCCCAAATGAGCTCATCGCATCCTGGACTGGGGGGGATTTGGGTGGTCACCCCAAACCAGGGTGCAAAGGCAAAAATATTTTTTCTTTTTACCCCTCCCCAAGGCAAAAGTGATGATGAAGACAGCATCTGCAAACTGGGCCCGGCCTCAGGGAAGGGAGCCGAGGAGGGGAAGGACCACAAGCGGCCCAAGCGGCCCCGCACCATCCTGACCACGCAGCAGCGGAGGGCATTCAAGGCGTCCTTCGAGGTTTCCTCCAAGCCCTGCAGGAAGGTATGGGGTGGCCTGGAGGCTGGGCAAGGGCTCTGCCCGCTCCTCAAGTCCCCCCCAAAGCCGTGTGAGGCCCGCTGAGATGTTGTCCTCCCTCCCTGTAGGTGCGGGAGACGCTGGCGGCCGAGACGGGGCTGAGCGTCCGCGTGGTGCAGGTCTGGTTCCAGAACCAGAGAGCAAAGGTGGGTGCAGGGGCCCCCTCCCGCCCCCTCCCGTGGCCATGCTGCCACCCCCTGCTTTTTCCCCTTCTTCTCGCCCAGATGAAGAAGCTGGCCAGGAGGCAGCAGCAGCAGCAGCAGCAGGACCAGCAAAACACGCAGCGCCTGAGCTCAGGTACCCAGCTCTCCACATCCCCGCACCCCAAAATGCCCTCTCCAGGCTTCCCAAGCCTCCCCCCCCAAAAAAGCCTCACTGGCAGCTCATTTTTATCTTCCAGCCCAGCCCAACGGTGGTGGCAGCGGGGGGCTGGAGGGGCTCATGAACCCCTACACCGCTCTGCCCCCCCCGCAGCAGCTCCTGGGCATGGAGCAGGGCGTCTACAGCTCCGACCCCTTTCGGCAAGGGCTCACCCCTCCACAGATGCCCGGAGACCACATGCACCCCTACGGTAAGGCTGCAGAAAGGGGCATGTCTGCAACCTCCCCGGGGCTTTTTTCTTGCCCTCTCTCTGTCAAAATGGGGGCTGCGTGATGGGGGTGCAGCAAGTTCTGGGCAGGCGGCAGCCCCCGCTCCCCTAAATCCTTACACTGCAGAAGTGGGGGCACCAGGGTGGCCAGCACCATGAAAGCATCCCACTGATGGAGCTGGAGCCAAAGCCAAAGGCTGGTGGGAAAATTAGGAGTGCCATCTCCTCCCTGGTGGTGTCACCTCGTCTTTGGTGGTGTCACCTCCTCCCTGGTGGTGCCACCACCTCACCAATGGTGCCACCACCTCTCCAAAGGTGCCACCACCTCCCCAGAGGTGCCACCCACTATGATTTACAGCTCCCTCTTCCCCGAGGTGTGCCAGCATCCCCAAACCATCTCAGTAGGCTCTCGGGGACGTGGTGGAGGAGGAGATACGGTGCTCTAGGATCTGCAGCAGCACACAGCACCCCTCCAACACTGCTCCTTTCCTGCTTCGCCAGGTGCCGAGCCCCTCTTCCACGACATGGACAGCGACGATACCTCACTGAGCAACCTGGGCGACTGCTTTCTCGCCACGGCGGACGCGGGGCCGCTGCAGGCGCGGGTGGGGAACCCCATCGACCACCTCTACTCCATGCAGAGCTCCTACTTCACCTCCTGAGCGCAGCGGAGCCCCACGACGGGAGGCCGGCACGCGGCGTTTTGTAGCTCGGGATGCCCAGGGACCCAGCGAGTTTTGGGTTGCGTAGTTTCACGTTTCTCTTAGGAAATCCTAGGGTTAGGGGCAGGAGTGGGTTTGGCAGCTGGCGGGTTGGTTTTCAAATTCCCACGTGAATATAGAAAGCTAGAGACGTCCCCCCCGTGCGGCGGGACGGGGCTGTGTGTGTGTGTTTGTGTGTGTGGGCACGCGCGCGTGAGCGGAGCCGTGCGGCCGTGCGCGGTGGCATCCCACACGGACGCGCCCTCCGGGTTGTTGTACCCACAAAGTTTATTCCTAAGTCTATCAGAAATTTACTGTACAGCAAAAGTAACTTTATTTTCAGCGCGAACCGTATTTAAGGAAATGCTCGATGCACTTAAGTTATGAGATGAGATAATTTACTTTTTATAAACGCCACGTTTAGGTTGCAAAAGCCCGGTGGCAGGGCAGGAACACCGGCTCGTGTCAGGCGGTAGGTCTGGGTTTCGGGGCCGGTTATTTTTGGTGCTCTCAGGTTGCCCCACTGCTTTTGAACCCCACGGCAGGGACCAGCTCCTCCGCCAGCAGGTCGGTGGGGACAGCGAGGTGGCCACGTCCCGTCCTTGCCACTCGCAGTGGCTGGGAGGTCGGTGCTGGAATTCGGGGACATCCCCAACTCTCTCCCTGACCAGAGACCCATCCCAAACCCTCAGATACGGGTGCTGGAGAGGTGTGAGGTGCTGTCCTGACTCCAGGAGCCACCAGCCCATGCCACCACCCCTTGTCTGAAGGAGGAAGGAGCCCTGCGCCTCCCACCCCACGTGCGGGTCCACCTCTCCAAGTTCTCCTCCAGGCTGAGCTCTCAGCCGACCCTCACCTCATCCCCCTCTCGTTTCCATGCGTTGTGTCCTTTTGTGCTGCTGTTCCCAAACGATGTAAGCGACCGCCTGTAAAGACGTGCAAGTGACTGTGAGGCTCGAAACGCCGGCGCGTGGCCCCCGTACGGCCTGACACTGAATGTAGCGGGGCCCGGAGGCGGACGGCCCGGTGGGAGGTGCTGAGGCACTGACAGGAATCGCGTAGCAAGGTGAAATTAAAAAAAAAAAAATCTCTGAAAAAAAAACACCAAACATGCCTGGTCTCTTCTTGTGTGTCACGTCAACTCAGGAGGGAATGGGTTTGGATAATCTCCCAGGTCAGTAAGGGAAAATATATCAGAAATTTTCTATTTTCTATATTCTATTTCTTTATTTCTTCTTTTCTTTTCTATATGGGAAATCTGCTCATTGGGTTTTAGATATCAAATATTCTCTGGTTTGTCACTCAATTGACCTTGAAGGTTCCTTTTTGGCCGATGGACGGAGGTGGGTGGCTGTGGAAGGTGACACAAATCTCGCTGGTGCCCACTGAATTAACAACTAATTTTTAATCACTGCACAGGCTCCATTTTCTCTTGACAATTACATTTTTATTACAAACCTCTGAGCCCTTCTCTGGCCCGTGCTGCCTCTAACATGAGGCTGGAGCACACACAAGGAAAATGGGACAAATATCATGTGTGTAGGAGAAGGCTTTCCACGGAGAGTTAAATGAGCTGTATTGAACTGCGAGGTCCCCTCCAGCAGAGGTATCTCAGCTGTGCTGGCTTGCTCGTTTGGGATGTAATTAGTGAGTCACAGGTGAAGGTGTTGCAGGAGAGAGAGCAAAACCCTATAAAAACAGGACTCACAGGCTGCCTGGGTTTGGGAGGAGGTGAGAAGATGTGCCCTAGGAAGCTGCATAGCCTGATTTGAGGTCTTGTGAAGGACAGCAAGGTAGGTGCTTGTGGCCAAGATTCATGTTTTTAAAGCCCTGCTCTTTCTGAGAGGGAATTGGATGTTGGGATGGGGTCCCTGCTCCATCTTCCTGCTCTGGGAAGGTTGTTGGGCTTTGCTGGTATGGGTGGGTTGGAAAATTATTGCTTGGGGTTTTTCTGTTGCTTAGTGGTCTTGGGGAAAGTCTGGATGGTGTTAGTGGGGCAGAGAGTGTCAGGGTGAGGGTGGTATTGGCTGTGGGATGAAGGTGAGGATGTGCTCTGCTTGGGGAAAGGGATTTGGGGAGGATAGAGTATGGGTGGTGTGGAGGAGCTGCTGTGGGCTGGAAGCCAGCATGAGTCTGATTTGTAGGATCCAGGTGTAGCTAATGGCTGGGTTAACACCAGCTGGGTTTACAATAGAAAAAAAAAGCATATTTTCATTATTAATCATTAAAATTGCTTTAAAAATTCTCCTCACTTTCATGTTTCCTAAAACATAGTTTTAATATTTTTCTTAGGAAAAAATGGCTTAAAGATAAAACGGTTGTCTTCTCCACCTACAGCCATCTCCTATTTGAAAAACATTCACCTCCATCAGTCTGCTTTCCGTCAGCCCACCTATCAATTTATCCTTATGAGATTACTTCCAAAATACTCCCCCCCCATAAAACCCATGTCACACAGGCTGGTTGCCTACTTCTTTTAAAGTCTTGCAATGATATAATGACAATATAATAACAGTATCTTAAAGTGTGTGCATATACTTTTATAAAATGATTATATAGAGAGTGGATATGTATGTTTTGGGGGAAGGATTGGTATTGTGGAAGTGGGCAGGATGTCATCTAGCAAAATTAGCAGAGTTCATGGTCTTAAACCTGCCTTTTTCTGCATTTGGCTTGTACTTGGCACAGTCCTTGTGGTAACGGTGCAATGCCCACATGAATCCTCATCTCCTCTGGCTGTGATGCTCTGCTGTGCCTTATTTCAGCCTGGGGACTGACCCTGCCAAAGCAAAGCCATCTGAACATTGTCTCCTGAGGTGAAGGATGGAGATGCTGTGGCAAATGACTTCTTGTGGGTTGTGGGATCCTGGGCTGGATGCCTGTGGTGCTGCTCTGCCGTGCTGTGCTCCGTGCCCAAGCCACCTCTCAGCCCTAGGGTGAACGACAGCTTCTTGTCAAACCCAGGGAGAAAAGAGCAAGGTCTGACATTTGGGGAAAAAAAAAAAAGGCTCTGTGCTCTCCAAGGCAAGGGCAATGGCAGGAAGGGGTTGGGAGCCAATCTTCATATCTTTAGTGGCTCAGTGAACAAAGCCCTCTCTGTTCAGGCCCTGCTCAGTGGCCAAGATCAAGCCAGAGATTGCTTTTCAGTTGAGGACACTGATTAGATGATACTGATAGGCAGGAACGAGCTAGCTCTGAGTGATATTATGTTAATTAAGTTGGTCTTTGTGAATGGATCGGATGGGATCCTGGGGCAGACTGCAAAGAAACTCAAAATGGACTTGGCCAATACTGGCTGCGTTTGCACCTGGGTGGTGTTTCCAGGTATTTGTAGGCAACCTGCAGTGTGCAGGCACAGGAGGAAGAAACCTGCCTGGAAAGGATATGACCTTGTAGATGAGGTGCTCTAGGAAATCCTTCAAGACACAGGCAGGGTCTTTCCCTGAAAGCAAACCTGGGAGGTGGCAAATGGTGCTTTTCTGGGGGGAAAAGGCAAAGCTTGGGTTGCTCCTGTCACCTTTCCAGAGTGAAATCGCTTGCCAGATGTCTGGTATCTATAGTGGTGCTGTTCTGGGCATAAGATGTCACCTGCCATCAGAAAATGCTTGTCTTGTGACACATGATGTGGCTCAAACCACCTCAGCCTTATGGTGGGTGTGTGAGCAGGATCCCAGGTAGCACCAGCTGGCCAGGTCTGAGGCTTGCCTTTGCTAAGTTTTCTTCCACAGCTCATCTGCATCAGCTCCTTTAAAAAAAAAAAAAAGTATGAAATGGTAAAGACTTGCAATGGAAAGTCAGGAAAAGCCCTTCAGGTGTAAAAAGGTGAATCGTGGTTTCTTATCTTGCTGGAGATCAGACCAAATTCCTGTCTCCGTTCCTCCAGTGGCAGGGTGTTGGTCATGGAAAGGTTATCTCGTTGGCTGTACGCCTCCTGGGTGCTGACGTGGAGGCTGATGTGTAAGTTCAGAGGCTGAGGATGAGTGTATCCAACCAACAGCCGTGTCAAAACACTCCAAGTGATCAAATACTGACAGCTCTTTTGGTGAAGAACAGCAGCTTCCCAGCGCCCCGGGCCCTCCGAGCTGCTGCTTCGGAGGGAGATCAGGTTTCTGCTGTGGTGACCCTGTGAACAGGGGGCTCATTCAGGAGGATGCTCGGAGGTTGGATCAGAGTCTGGGGGCAGAGAAAATCCCTGCCAGAGGGCATCATGAGGCTGACAGACCCTGCGACACTGAGATGGGGAGCTGGTGGCAAGCCCCAGTAGGCCTTACCAGCTTGGTAAGGCCTACTGGGCCTTACCTACCCTGGTGTCCTTACCAGCTTGGTGGCTTCACGTGGGGATAAAGAACCAATGACCCTTTATTGACCAGTCTTAATTAGGACTTTTGGAAAGCCCTGGCAGGCTTGGTGCTCTGCAGAGCATCTTTGGCATCTGAGGTTGATGCAGAAACTGGCTGGCCCCCAACAGCTCCAGCTCGTGCTCTGTTCCTCGCAGTACAAATGCAATAATATCTGCTTGGGAGGAGAGGGGCTGTGAAGGGAGGTATCCTAGGAGCCTCCAGCTTCTCTGTGCTTTCCCAGAGAGCATCTGCGAGGAAACAAGCCTGTGCTCAACACAACTCAATAATACGTGAGCATGGAGGGCCCCGAGGCTGTGCGCGGGAGGAGGATATGGAAAATAGCGAAAAACCACCCGTTTGCTGAGTGAGGCAGGGACCGTATGGAAAATATAGCATGAGGTCATGGAAGTAAAGATGTAGCGTAATGCCTGTGCCTTGGGTGGCTGGTTCTGTTGTCCTGACAACCTCGTGCTGGTGTCCCAGCCTTGGAGGGCTTGGCTCTGTGGTTGGGAACATGGAGGTATTTGGGAGGTAACTGGAGAGCCCCCGAGGAGCACGGGGAGAGGAGACCAGCGAAACTCCTTCCAAAAGGATCAGCTGGAGCCTGCCAGAAGCTGTAACCGCCTGCTGGCTGCCTGGTCTCCTCCCGGAGTAGGCGGAGGGGTGAGGAAGGAGCGGTGACATCCCGGGGCTGCCAGCAGGAGAGCTGCTGCAGGCAGGGCCAGCGGCGTCCCACGGGGCTGGGGGCTGGGGCACAGACCCCATGCGAGGGGAGCTTCAGGAGCCCTGGACGTGGTGGTTAAAGGACAGCAGCAAAGGCAGCCAGTAAATGCAGCCCCAGGTCCTTTCCTGGGTTATCCGGTGGTGAGATGGGGAGGGGGCAAGGAACCCAGAGAAGTTCATCAGTCAGCCTGGCAAGGAGCTGGACTAATGAAGCCCAAAGATGGGTGCTGTCCTTGGAGGTATTGTGTGGTAGGGGGGCACCGTGGGGACTGTGGGACCCAGAAATGGCTGTAAAAACTGGGCTGCCTTGCCTCTTCCCTGGGCCTTCCAGTTCCCATCAATTAGAGGCTAATCACTTGCTCCAGAAAGCTTTTAAGTGCAAGTGAGCTGATTTGAGATGATGAAATTGCCTCTTAATTGATTATTCCTGCAGTTTACCAGCTGTTTCCCTGACTTGCTTATTTTTCCCTCCCCTGGAACAAAAACCTGCTGTTGGTAGGAGCAGCTCACCTCCAGCCAGGAGCAGGCGAGGAGCTGACAAACGCCTGTGGCCGTGCTGGGAAAAGGCTCCCCGAGGAAATACCGATAAGCAGCAGGGATGCTGCACTTCTGGGCATCCCCGTGATGGCCCAAAGCAGCTGTTTTGGGCAGGAAGGATCCTGATTCCACCCCGCAGCCCCAGGCCACCCGAGCTTATAGGTGCTGCCTGACCGCGTGCACGGGGCCAGCCCCCGCCGATAGCATCGGGGTGAGTACAGTAGGTGCTTTGTGGCTGGGGGGGGGATCTGGTTACTTGGGAACAGCTCTGCGCCCGGGGAAGATGATGACAGCGTGCTAGGGGGAAGGAGGGCTTGGAAAAATAAATGATGTGCCAATTTGTGAGCTCCCCTGGGATTGTTTGGGGTGCTTTGGTCGCTGGGCTCCCTGCACCCAGTGGATGACCTGTTTTTCATTCATCCTTCTTGCCTGAATCTGTGCTGCTGTGGGGGCTTGTGCTCGCCACAGCCCCCCTGGGACATACACTCCTAGCTGCTGTAGCAGGTCCCACTCTGCATCCCAGCAAGGTTGGCTGGTGGCTCTTTCTTCCCCAGCAATTTTCCTGCCTTTCTGTTCTTCTTAGAAAGAAATTCTTCATTATAAGGGTGGTGAGGCCCTGGCACAGGCTGCCCACAGGAGCTGTGGCTGTCCTATCCCTGACTGTGCCCAAGGCCAGGCTGGATGGGGCTTGGGGCAGCCCGGGTGGGTGGGGGGTGTCCCTGCGGGGTTCTCTGCCCCAGGAACCTGTGGATTTCAGACAGCTGAGCTGAGACCCATGAGTGTGCTGCTGGCTTGTTCCTTCCCTCTATCAGGAGACCTGGCCATGATGGGGCAGGGATGTGCAAGCTTCTTTCTCTGTGGGTATCTTGAGTTGCCCTATAACTGACCCTGGTGGGGCTTTCTGCTCCATGGGATGTGTTGGTGATGGAGCTCAGCTAAGAGGCAAAAGGCTCAGGAAGTCCATGGGAAACAGAGCAGTGAAATATAGGGATGGTGATGAAACTTTGCCATCTGCTCCAGGGCAAACCGACTGCGGGGAGCACTCAGAGCAGTGCCAACATGAACTTGCTGCTGCAATGTGTCTGCAGCCCTGCTGGTGCAGGGACCCGCTGGAGGTGGCACCTCAGCTGCTGGTCCCTAACACGTCCTGCCGTGCACCTGGAGCTGTCCCTTTATTTTGGAGGTGGATGGGAAGCTGAGTGATGCTGGTAACAGCTCGGCCATCCAAGGAGAGGCTGTCCAAGGTGTTTTTCCTGGGACAACGCAACCTGGTGTCCCGTCCGTGCGCCGTAGCCCCAACCCAGGGCTCAGTGATACCCAGCTGAAACCCCAGCCCCTTTAAACCACGGACCCAGGCAGATTTCCCTCGCGGGGTGAGCGGCTCCAGTTTCATCGCTAATGGGTTTCCCAGGATTTGCAGATGTGAATTGCTCGCATTCCTGACTCCAAGGTGAGCGCAGGTGCATCGGACGGTCCCCGCGAGTCCTCCCCACCTCCCGGGCGAGCGCACAGAGCCGCTATTGTGCGGTGAGGAGCATCGCCTCCTCCGTGCCCCTGGGGTGCTCGGGGTGCTGCTGCCTGGGTGGCGTGGTCGCCTTCTCAAGGTCCCTGCTCCTTCTCCTGCAGGGGAGCAGCAGCTTTTGCAAGTGAGAGTCAAACCCCAACCTGCCCCTCGGGCTCTTCATCAGGGGTCCAAGGGAAAGCGGCCGCGGGTTCAAGCCGCCCTCCTTGAGCTCGCTCTGCTCAGACTGCAGGACTATTTAACACGCTTCAGCTTCTTATAAAGTTTCTGTCAAGAAGGATTAGCAGCAGGCTGACAGATTGCTATTACAGCCCCAGTGAACTTTTAATACCTGCCAGTAAATTCTGCCAGTCCCTTAAATCCTCTCGCGGGCGCTCGGTTTGGGGAGCAAAGGTTGTTGCTTGCAGTGCTGGTATGGAGAGTGCCTCTCTCCAAGCTGTCAGTGTCAAGAAATGACCTCTGGGGGCTCTGATATTGTCCTCCACAGGGTCTCAAAAGAGCCTCTGTGAAGGTGAATTCACCTCTCTGTAGGTGAATTTCATCCTTTCTCCCTATGGGGTGAGGCACTGTTGATGGATGCCTGGGGCTGGAGGTCCCCAGGGTGCAGGAGGGACCGACACCTCCAGGGAAGGCAGCTGGGTGTGGGTGGAGGTTGGGGGCACCCTCGGGGGCTGCTGTCTGATGGCTAGGATCACAGCATTGCTTAGAGGTGAGGCCTGCCATCAGCTGCCCAACAGGCAGGCTTAAGGATGCTCAAGGAATGCTGAGGTCCAGGCACCCTGAGTACGGCTGGTGCATCTGCGTGTGATTTTTTTTTTTTCTTATACCGAGTCTTTTAATTGAGTTTTGATGCACCTTCCCCTATTACTGGCATTAAAACCAATATGAGCTGTGTGAGGAGGAAACCCCAGTGTCCTGAATTCCTCTGCACCCTGGCAGTGATGGGGCTGATGCGGGTAACAGCATGGTGCTGCACCTTAAGCTGCTTCTCTCCAGGATCCCTGTGCCCTTGTGGGTACGAGCACATCTCCCACTCCTTTTTGATCCCACAGCTTGTTTTTCAGCTCCTAAATCCTGGAAGCATAGCATGTGCAGGAAGATATTTACTATGTGGGATAGTTTCCAATTGACTCAGATGTGGAAAGTTTGAACAGCCTTTGCCAGGCTCCTTTAAAAAAAAAAAAAGGCAGAAAAGGCAGATGTCACCTAGTATTTAGTGGAGGGTTCGTGAATTTTTGCATACTTAAGACAAAAAAAAAAAATCTGGAAATTGCTTTTGGCCAGAGTCTTTCTCCCATAGTGCCTCTGAGTACTTTCTCCTCTTTGGGTTTCTCAAGGTTTTGCTTAATGGGACACACGTTGTCCCAGCAGGTAACTGCATCCAGAGTCTTTTGAAATGCCATCTTTCTGCTGCACAGCCTTGGATGAATTTGTGCAGCTTGGCAGAGACACCATGGTTCAACAAGAGGCTGCAGCCCAGCAAGATGCCTTGTTTCACATGGCCAACATGTGGTTGATGTTTTGGCTTCCTTCCTGCAGAATGTGCCTACGGGCACCCAGCAAGAGCTGCAGAGGTGAGTGCTGCCACCCTCTTGCTGTGGGCCAAGGAGGTGTTTGATGTGGTTCAATGGTGGGGTTGAAGTTGCCCAAGAAACCCTAGCCAAAAGCAGAGCAGACCTGTGTGGCTGGCAGGAGCCAGGCCACAGAGCTCCCTGGTGGCAAGTGTTTGGTGGGTGCTGGTCCAGGGGAGCCCCATGTAGGGCTTGGGGGAGGCAAATTTGGTTCCAAAGCTGTCCCAGTCTGCTGTCCATAGAGAGCTTGAGCAGGAAAGTGGGACTCCTTGGTTTCCCATCGCTTGTCCCAACCCTGCTTGAGCTGGGTTAACTTGGGTGGCTGCTCTTCAAACTTTTTTTTTTATTGCACAGCAAAATGCTTTTTTGGGAAAGCCAGGCTATCACCCCCCCCCAAACAGCCAACTCCAAACCCGAAAGAGAAAGGGCCCTTTGAAGTGAGCTGCCCGAACGCGACGTGTGACATCAGAGAGATGGCAGATAGCTGGCAGAACAAGGCTGCCTTTCAGCCCGCCCCGGCCCCGGCCGCTGCGTGCTTTACACCCCACCTCCCCACGCTGGAGATGAAAGATGCCCCAGGCAGCCTGCCTGACCCCGTTGCTTCTGCTATCTCCACTTGATTGCACAGTGGTTTTGCTCCAAACAATCCTTCACTGTCTGGGCCGCACAGGTGAATCTCCCGGCTTGGCTGGCGAGCGGGGATGCCGCGCATAGCAGGGCTGCTTTGTCGCGGTCGCTCGCCTGCTTCTACGGGGTGGTTTCTTAGGGCAGGCATTGTTCGACGGCAGGGCACGGAGGAGGGGTGGGGGGAAAGGGATGGAGCAGGACCGGGTGGCCCAGGGGCAGGGAAAGGGGGTGCAGAGTGAAGGAGCATCCCTGGGGACCTGGTGGGGTGGCGAGCAGGTGGGTGAGCACAGCAGCTTGTGCTGGATGCCATGGGCTTGGCTCCAAGAAGGGATCTGAGATGAATGGATTTGACTTCTTTTTTCTGTTTGTTTCTCTGTTCAACCTGCTTTGGTGTCCAAAGCAAGCTGGTTTCCCACCTTGGGTCCTTGCTTTAAAAAGGTGTGGTGGAAGGGGGACATTTGGCTGCATGTCTATGCTGAAAGGAAAATCTTTAAGAGTCCATTCAGTCTTGAGACAATGAATTTGTGTAGAAGATGAGTTGTGGTAAAACAGCTGCAAATTAAGCACACCTCAAATTAAGCAGTCTGGAGGACAGTGAGTCTGAGGAACCAAGCAGGTGGGCTCAAGAAAGCTCTGAGTGTTCAAGTGGCACCAAGGATGTGCCCACACAACCTCCTCAGTAGGTTCTCCCTGAGCTAATGCAATCCCAGAGGCACGTCCTAGATTGGTGTGAGTTGGGGCATGAGTCAAAACTCTGAAGGGTATCGGAGCAGCTGAGCTCCCGTAAGATCTGAGCACCCTTTTGACCTCTACCGCCAAGATCAGAGCCAAGTTTTCCCTGGCGTTCAGAGACTTGTAAAGGCTGAATGCCCTAAAATCAATGTGACTAGTGGGAACATGGAAATTAATTGTGTCAATCTATCACTCATCTTCCCCTATTACATTCAGTGATTGGAACTTGGCCTCCGGTGCACGAACAAAGTGTCTTCTGTGACAGGTAGCTGCTGCGCAGGGGGTGGCTGCGTGGCTGAGTGGTGGAGAGGGGAGGACGAAATAAAAGTTTGGGCTCAACTTATTTTTTTCTCCCCCTCAATGTAATGTTTTCCTTGCTTGGGGCTATTAAGGTCAAGGTGACATTAAAATAGGACAGAATAAAGGAGGTAAAACAGCAGGAGGTTAAGAGAGAAGGGGAGAAGTAGAGGGGTAAAATTTGGATTATTTTTGTGGATTGTCTTAGAGTAGTGCCAAAAAATAACACCAAGATGATGGGTGACCTGTAAATTGACAACGGGGCCTTTCAGGATGCTGTGTAGGCATTACCCAGGTACCTCCAAAAAACTGCTTAGGGCCAGGCCATTTGAAGATGTGAGTGACACTGGTGCTTTGGGCACTTTGGCATCTCCAGCATCCCCATCCACATGTGACCTGTAGGCCTCAGGGATCCAGGTGGTGCTGGTGGTGATCTCCTCTTCCTCATCTTCATACCCAGCTTGGGAACGGGGTGAGGTGGGTGTCCCATGGTCCTGAGCTTTTCCAGCCTCCCCGTGTGCTGTCACCTCGAGGATGGGACCACAGCTGTCCCTGCATGTGGGGCCGCTGCCCATCCATCCCCTTTCTACCTCTCCTTCATTAAGGCGCTGATCCCTTCCCGATAACGAGGGGGCTTCTGTTGGACAAAACCTGCCAATTAGGCATTCTGGCTGGGTATAAACGCGGCACTTGAACAGCTGAGGGGACGGCGGGCAGTCCTGCCCCTTCTCGCGGCGTTGCCAAGCTTGCCATTAACACAATGTGACAACTAATCTCTCTATAGCATCTGACCGAGCAGTTTTAATTAATAGCTCCGTACGCCTGCACACGCGCCCGCACCCCCTCTGCTGAGCGCAGGTACCGCATGCCTTCAAATCTCCTTCCTTTACAGCCCGCGCTGACAAAAGGCACAAAAATGCCTCGTTCTGCCCCAAAATTGGGGAAATTCTGAGCTGCTGGGACCGGCCCTGGTGTTGGGAGCGTGCAGGGATGGTGACCCTGGAGGGAAGCAGGGAGCAGAAAGCTGTGGTCTGCTGGAGATGATAAATCTTGGGGAGACAGGAGGTGTGCAGGATGCTGGGGTGGTATTTTGGGTCTGCTTTCCTGGAGATGGGGTCTGGGGAGTGAGTGGGTGGCAGCCCAGCCTCCTGCTGCTGCCCGTCCAGCCCTGCATCCCTCTGGCTTGGTCCTTGCTGGTGCCTCCTGGCCTGGCTCATGTTCCTCTTCAGTCCCCCTCGTGTCTTTTTGGGGCTGCTGTCCTCAGAGGATGTCTCTGCCTTGCCCTGGCAATCAGCACCCTGCGTGTGGCAGAGGTTGGGACCACCCAAAAACACCTCAGCCCCCAAAACAACTTGTAGGGAAACGCTCCAGCCTCCCGAATCTGCATCCTAATGGGATGTCCCCAAATCTCAGGGCGTGACCTGGCCACCCCATGCTGGGCAAAGCTGCTTCCAGCTCTCCTTCTGCCCGTGGTGCCCCTCTCCATCCCACAGCGGTGCCCGGGATGCGGCAGCACTAAGGGGGAGTGGTGCAGAAGCTGGCACCCCCTGGCACCCCCCCGGCACGGTGGTGGCAGGCGGACACGAGCCCTGCCCCATCTGCCCGCACGGCAGCGCGGCGGGGAGCTAATGAGAAGCAAGGTGAGAGGCAGGAGACGCGCTGACAACTCGCTGGCTCCGCAAGCTGCCGGTGGCACGCGGGCGGCAGAAGGACGGCATCTGCCCCCCCTCCCCTTTACCCCCCTCTCTCTCTCTCTCTCCCGGCATCTCCAGCCTCATAATGAGGTTATTACTGGTTATTACTGGCCCGCTGCTTGACGGCCGGCACCAGCATCCCTCGCCTCGTCCTCGCCCCAATTCCCACTTGTGGCTCCGTGAAGGGTCCCCCTGCCCTCGCTCCCGGTTTTGGCACAGGGCTTCGTGGGGGGGGGGGGGGGGGCTGGCTTTGACCTTGCTTGCGGAGGAGATGCTGCCACACACCGCCTGTCCACCCCCTTCCTTCCTTACCTCGTGAACGCTCCTGGCCTGCTCTGGCGGTGGG